TGGTTACCTCTCTTTCTACCAATTTTAAATATTATTAGTGGCCTATAGTATACCCTCTTAAAATGAATTAGTCAAAAATGAATAGTAATAGCGAAAAAGCAGCCACTTATAATTCTAGTCAACAGCAATTTGTATACAGGACATTTGGCAATTAATTCCTATGTAAAATTGTTTGCTGAATCCGAAAATGCCAAAAGTTATAAAACTAAAAGCGTTTTTGAGATATAGTCAATTTTCTATATAATTTGGAATTGACTATATCACAAAACTGCTTCAATTTTATAACTTTTGACGGTATTTTTAATTCAGCGGACAATTTTACATAGGAATTGACTATTAAATGTCCGGGATACAAATTGCTTTGGACAAAAGTGGCTTCTTTTTCGCTAGGCCTTTTTAGTGCTTTTTTTATTTTTGTAAATATAATTTTTTTTTAAATAAAAGCAATAGTACGTATATTGTGCGACTAGTGGGAGAAAGAGTCGCACAATATGAGTGAAATCTTCTCTTAACCAATAGTCGCCCACAATATTTTATTCAACTACCACAAGGAATTTAAACCCAATTTTATTTGATATTTTATCTGCTAAGCAGTTTTAACCTTAGGTACTTTTTTACAATTTAAACTTAAAGCTAACTTCAGCTTGTGGGCGAAGTAAAATTTCGCCCACCGGGTAAAGTTAAGAAATAAAATAAATAAACACACCGATTTAAACACCAGAACTATGCGGGGAGCGATGGTCAGCGATCCGATTTAACCACCTGGAAATAAAACTGTTTGTTTATTTTTTATTTAACACCCATTCATTTCTTAACTTTAACCGGTGCACCGCGGTGGGCGAAATGCTATTTCGCTCAGAATGAAGATAAAATTGAAAAAAGTGAGGTTAAAGCTGCTTAGCAGATAAAATATCAAATAAAATTGGGTATAAATTCCTTGTGGTAGTTGAATAAAATATTGTGTGCCACCGTGTGAGGAGAGAAGATTCCACTCGCGTGTTACCGCACTCGCTGAGCGCCAAACTCCAGGCTTGAGTAATCTCCTCTTTCTCCCAGCAATATACTAATTGTGAGCTAATAATTAAAATTATATATATTTTTTTTTATGATTATTAGAATAGTCCCAAGAGTCGGGACATTACTAATCACTAATTCTATAAAAAAAAAATCTGTAGAAAACTTAAGTAGTTGACTACATTTTCTAGAAAAACCACGGTACACAAATACCGGTATGCTGATGCGCATGTTATAGCTATCTCTCTCGCACCGTGTGGTGCCATGTGCGAACCAAAAGCTGACGGGTAACTTGGTTGGAATGTTATTTGCACTGAACATTCACGTTATATTCAAAAATTTATAAATATAGGGACGGCCTGGGTGCAATTATTAAGTGTAACACTTTTGAACTGAAAATTGTGTATACCAAAAATTGCCTTTACTTACCGTTTTTTATTTTATTTTATCGTTTCTCTTGCATGCATTCATTCACTGAGCTGCCAGATCTTTATTTTTTGTAAATCAAAAATATTTAATGTTGGCACAGTGACGTTGTGAGTCTTGAGCAAAGCGGTTGTGTCGAATCAAGCGCGTACTTTCTTTCATAGTTCCATCACCGCTAAAGTTCAATTACAAAAAAATCAATATCGATTCTACACGTGATAACTGTTCCAAGTGCAAAAGAGTGCAAATTGTGTGTGGTACCTTCCCCTGGATTAAGTCCTCAAGTGTTTTACCTGGATAAAAGATGTCAGAGAGACGATCAGTTCCAAGGAATAATTTCCTGGACTACCACACGTGCGGTCGGCATGCGTTAAAGATCAATTTCATCACACTTGCCTGACAATTATCCCGAAGTCCAAGTCTGCATAAATTAGATAAGTAGTTACCAAAATTTCATGACCATAATACCCAATAATACATAATACCCAATAATATTAATACTAGTTAATACGAAATCCGCAACCTTTAACTAACAAATAATCCGTCAGGTAAAATTAATTAGTCGCAAACAATTTCCAAGACTCCCATGCACAAAAATGAAACATAGTAAAAAAAAACTATAAACACAAGGGCACACATAAGAAGCCATTAATCACTCAAGTTACGATAAACATTAGGCAGAAGAAACCATCTTAAAGAAATAAACATCTTTAGATTACTAAGACATAAGAGGACCATAAATTAGGTAAATAACCGTTCTATGGGTAAATAAACAGCCGCACCGCACAGTGAGGTAAAAATTCGAGGGTATTTCATTAGGTTAAACAAAGGCGGAACAAACAGCTGCTTATGAAGTCGGTACTCGGCAAGAGGGGCTGAATTTCCACATAGTCAGAGGGCACTAATTACGGCGGGGTGCGGTCGGCAACACTTCGGTTCTGAAGATAAGACTCAATACCGCATAGGGGGGCAAACAATTCTAAAGCGGCTTCCAGGGCTTCCAAATCAAGGATAGGCTCTAGCAGCATACTAATCCACCTACCCCCATTCAACAATCCCAACTGAATGGGGTTACTACTAAAGCCCTGGTTGAGGAAGATTCCGGATTGTACTTAGGTTTGGGTCAGTTCAATGTCCTCCAAAAACCCTAAACTGGACGTATGGCCCGACCCGGCTGACAAAAATCCGTGGAGCGGCCTTAACCATAGACACTATCATCCACGACCTCCTAGGGTGGATCTACCAGACGGCGTAAAAACTTCGGATCCAACAAACACAGGTAATGTGTGTGATTTGGCGGGATACGCAGGAGAACGAAAAGGGGGTAAAAGATAATGTCTTTGGGGCCTGCCATACGTTCCCATACTCATACTCAAAAATATTTAATGTTAGCAGTAGCTCATCAGCGCTCTTACCGTCGAGACGTGATAGTTTCTCCACTTTGAACTATAAACAAGTATACAGTGCATTAAAAACCTAATCTAAAAGTTTAAACGCGCGAAGTGAACTGCCACCCCACCTGTTGAAGTCACGGAACCACCCACCTGAACAGGTAGTTCATCGCGGCATAAACCTGGAAGTTTTTTAATATTTGCAATTCGCTATTTGCGTAAATAAGAATTCACCGTGCCTACGGGTGTGTTTATACCTTCCCATGGGAGACAAATCCGTAGAAATCAACAAGAAATAATAAAAGAATCGAACAGGGTTAACGAACCCCTACATTAAATAGACCAAAGATACCGAATGCACAGGCAGTACGACTAAAAGTAACCCGCCGTATAGCCTATACGGTATAGGACGAGACAAGTAGTACTTAATTAACACATAAATCTTATGTACAGTTGTATTCAATAAAAAAGCGTACAAAAATTAGAATGAGAGAAAACTGTCAAAATAATATTATTGCTTAAAACCGGCTTATCACTGACATAAGTCATTAAAATAATTATTATAGGTTATAAAGAGCATTGACGTCGTAGGTTAATTAAATAATATTACAAAAATTATTACCTTTTAATAATGAAAAAACAAACATTAAAAAAAATTTAATATTTAGTCATGCATCCCTGTTTTTCTATTACTTGAGCCAATCTATTTGGGATGAACTGAATTAAATTTATTACAATATTTGGATTAATATCTTCCCAGCAGTATAGTAGGTATAGTTGTATAGTTTCCCATAAATCCTCAGATATCTCAAAAAAGCAGCATCCTGTTCAGGGGTGGACATTTTGGGACGACCTGAACCAACTTTTTGGTTAAGTAAATCTTCCTGTTCCCAGCGTTGCTTAATTTTTAATATAGATTTTTTATTTCTATTATACCACAGTACGAATTGACCATTCTTCTTCGATTCTTGATACTATTTGAGCCTTTTTAACTGACGAGGCATTTTTATTTTCTACTGTCAGTTATAGTGACTTAAGTCAGTGGAAAGCCGGTTTTACGCAATAATGTTGACAGTTTTCTCTCATTCTAATTCTTGTACGCTTTTTTAATGAATACAACTGTAAGTAATCAAACCATTTTCTAATCTTTGCTTAAATAAACAAACTGCGAGACCTTTTGAGTATAAATAAATAAATGGTAAAAGCAGTTAAAAATAAATAAAAATGTAATTTGTTAAATGTTAAGAAAGTAAAACAACAAGAAAACAATAGGAAGGAAAACAACAAGAAAACAACGAATAGTCGTTTTCAATAAATAGTTGAGTAAACAAAAATTGTACTTAGTTTTGGGTCAGTACAAGGCCCCCAAAAACCAACTCTTGTCCCTCCTTGTCCTAAACTTCACTAGCCTAAATCGGGCGTATGGTCGACCCGGCGACAAAATTCCGGGAATGGCCTTTACCATCGACACTGTCATCCACGACCTAGTGAATATTACCTGCCGGGGTGAAATTTCGCATCCTCCAAACACAGGTAACGCTGTGCAGTGGCGGGATACGTATAAAACCGAAAGGGGGTAAAATAAAACTGGAAGATCAGTGTAAGGCGTAGCCGATGGGGCCTGCCACACGTTCTTATAAGATATATAAGATATATATACTCATACTCACTCATCTAAAATATTTGTTGGAGTTTCTGATATTTATGCTGTCTGCTACAGCACAGCCCGGCATATTTTAAATAGTTTTTAAGTCCAAGAAATATTACACAAACTTAATAAATAATCTATTATAAAAAACCCGTACGTGGCTTATAAATACATTGTAAATAGTTATTGCTGTTCAATAAATGCAGTAAAAACTTTACGAAACCATCGTGCGTGGCTTAAAATTTAAAAAACACAACAATTTCGGAACAAACTAAAAAGAAATCGTAGTAAAACACCCGATCATAGCATATGCCATGCATAAGTGTTTGTAACATTTGAATCTGGTTCGCACGTAACGTCATATGCGCGGAGACGACGATTTTCGTTTAAACCAGCATACCGGTATGCCAGTGTTTGTGTATCGTGAGAAAAACTATATTTTTGCCTAATTTTAAAATAATAACCATTATCCTTTAAAATCGCAAACCAATGTAAAACATTAAATACGACGTTTGGTTTAGGATCCGCCCCTCCGTCCAGAACCGGCTCCAAGGCGGACATATCGAAATTAGGGGCGACATTAACGGCTCCCTCCACTCCTCAGTCGAGCCCTCCCGTGTCTCCCAAGCGTCTGGGAGGTCGTATTTCGGTCCCGAAGCCACTCAAAGAGGACGAAAGCGACTCATAGCATTCGGCTAAATCAAACGATTTCGACGCAAGCGATGGTAGAAGTAGTTTTTTACACGAAAGGTTGATGTAGGTTTAAGGATAAGGTACAGTACTAATACACAGTATATCCTGATTCTGTGGGCAAACACATTTTTTGTATCATGCTTCGTCGAGCTAACCATGACAACCAAAAAAGTAAAACGTTTAATATTTTGCGTGCACAAAAAACACCGAGATTAAGCTGTTTATTATAGAGGTGGGCTGTTCGATACGATACGTATCGATACAAGTGATACGGACGGGATATCGTTAGAATCGATATAAATTTATGTATCGAATACATTGTATCGATTATTTAGCTAATTATGAAAAGTACTTATAATGTGCAGCTGACTTTTAAGTGGCTATCACAAAACTATAGTTTTGTGATAGCCACTTAAAAGTCAGCTGCAATACCAACCAAACCATAGAAAAAGTACCAAACCAAAGCCAAAACTATAGTTTTGGCAATTTTTTTTTAATCTAACCGTATCGTATCGAAATTGTATCGATATAAGTGATATTTTAAAAATTATATCGATATCGTATCGATACGGCTTCTGTATCGAACAGCCCACCTCTAGTTTATTATGCATTCGCTACTTTTTGGTTTAAAGATTTTTAACATTGTTTTAATTTTATGTAAATGGATAATTTAAACATTTGTTTAAAACCTATCGAAGTTTCTGAATTTATGATCATAAGTTTTAAATCATTTTCCAGGAGCCCATTACATTTTCAGCGGTGTTTTTACTTTAGCTCCACAAAGTTTGGTTTGTTGTTTCGATTATGAACTTAATGATTATTATAAAATAAATATAAAACGCTAATTTTTAAATTGGTGTGCTTTAATAAAAATGCTTATTGCCAATCTTCAAACTTAAAATTAGATTTGTTCCATTAATCATTAAATTCTTAATCGATAAATTGAATATATATTATAAGTAGTATACAATTAAACGCAATAAAATAAATAAATAAACATAATATGTTTATAAGGCTAACAATAAAATATAAAATATTTTAGTAAAAAAATAACTTTATTAGTACAAATAAATATATATGTAGAGGTTAGTAGGTACCTACAATTGATTTGGCACAATTATAGTGTATAAATTTAGCACACCCTTATTTTAGTTGTGCAAATAAAACATTATGCCAAGACAATTGCAAAAACACAATTAATTTAAATATTAAAACGTTTTAGTATTTTTGTGATAACTTTTTTACCATGTTATAGTTGAAAGTACTTAATAATAGAAGTAAAAGAGTAGACGAGTTAACATTTTAAATCCAAATTAAATTCGATTTGATTTTTTTGAGCAGCTTAAAGTACGAAAGAAATAAGAGTAAATATTTATTGTATTTTTAAAGCTGTTCGCAAATCGAATTAAAGAACGTAACTGCTTTTACAACTTGCGTCCTCTTGTGATTTGGAGTTTTAGAACATTTGGCTAGTGACAGATTTCACTAGTCAGCAAGATTTTTGCAGGAAGAATGCCAATGATTAAAAAAAATTGCTAAATTTGTTAAAAATGGTGATACTTTTAAGGGGAAAAATCTGATGTAATTTATTTAAAAATATCCCTGGGAAGTGTAAATGCAAAATTATATGCTTGTTGATAAAACAAATAAAATATATGCGACCAAAAATGCAATGTAAAATAATAGTACAAAACAATTTTTTAATTATTCTTTAGTTGATCTTCGACAAAAATGAAAAGATAATGAAGGAATACACGTGTCTCGTTAAAAATGAACTTTTATTTTTTGCGTTCCTGTGGTATAAATAAACAAAACCTATCCTTACATACAAAAATAAAGTTCTCTTAAAATAAATTAGTCAAAAACTACTAATTATAAGCTAATTTGTCATAGCGAAAAATAAGTCACCAGCCAGGGTTTGAACTCGGATCTGTCTCTTGTCAGCAGATGTCTAACCAATGGACCACTGCTACTTTTATAATAATTAGTTATATCTGTCCATAAATATTGTTAATAATATTTTAAAGTTTAATGATAAATGTTGTTTTAAGCTAAACTTTTTGCATATTTGTTTATTTTTATGGGCCATTTAAGCATGGAGCCAACATTCATTTAACTCTAACAATAATTTGTTGTTGGCCGCAAGAATTAAAACGATTTTATTTTAAGAGAGTGTTATCTAAAATATTTAAAAATAGGTTTTTTGTACCAGAAAAAAGAGCATTTTGGACACTTGCATCTGCGGACTAAGCACAATTTTACTACAGATTTTCCCCCTAGGGACAGTAAGAAATAGCTAAATTCACGGTCTACACATTGGTATTTCTGTTGCAAAATGTTAAATAAATCTTGCTGCCTTGTATTATTAAACCTTTTGAATGGTAGTGATAAAAGTAGAAAAAACACTATTTTACCTTGAGTCCCTACAAATATAGGGATTTAACCTTATACCGTTGTTGCGCTTGCCCAATAGAATGTTTGTGCAAATGATTAAAAAAAATAGGTAGGTAATGTGTTAAATTTAAAAATATAGATATATATGTATTCGCAAATGTTTAAATTATTAATATGGAGAAAATCGCTTTAACTACCGACAAAAAGAGAATTAAAATAAAAGTTAGAACGAAATCTGCCGAACACTTTACTTTTCATATAATTTGTATGTGACCTACCTAAACTGTAAAAAAAGTTCCTTTGGGCATGTGTCCCTAAATGCTTACATAAAAAGTTATAAAATTTCGATTTTATCAAAATAAATAAATTTTCCAGGAAATAGCTGAACCTTAGTAGCTTTGCTTATATTATAACTTGGGCATATATATGGCTTAAAGCTGGAGGGTTAATACCGTTACTTTACTTTATTATTTTTGAATACCTTGTTCTTGATCTTAATCCAAATGACATACCAGCACAACAATGTGATCAAATGAGCACAGAGTGTGCGCACGAAATGTTTTCTCACGCCATGATCATGATCAAGTGATACACAAATGAGCAAAATGTAATCACGGCATGGGGTAAACTGAGAAAAATTTAAACTCAGGGATGCTGTGCGGGTATTCAAGTGAAACTTGTCTATGAAGATAAAAAATTTATTTTAATTATAATTACAAAGAAATTATTATAATTATAATAGACTTAAGGTAGTATCTTTATTTGAAGAGTCCATAAAATGTCTTCAAAATTTAATAAAGGATTTTGGGAGGCATCAGACACATTTACAAATAATTTCAGATTGTTTTTACAGCACAGATTAAAAGAAAATAATTTTTTAAAGTTACATTTATAAATAAATAAATAAACTAAATAATCAATTTTTAAGCTATCAACATGATCCTTTTTCGCTTTTTAAGTTTTAAAACAAATTTTTGAAATAATGTATGGGAAATCTGTGGGAAATAACACTTTAATAAGAGCCTTCTCAGATTGTTAGATAAATGTACTATTTTTACCACTTTTTAAAATGTTCATTTTAAAGTTCGTGCTGCCAACTTGAGTAACCAAAAATATGAGTTTTAAACCTTAATTTTGCCATTATAACAACAAATTAACAATTTATATTGTTACTTATTTGTTAATTAAAATACAACGTTTTATTGTTTACTACATGGTACTCTGTTACGGCCTGTTATTTATCAAACTCTTCAAATGGAGATACTACCTTAAGGGCCGGTTTATCAATCTCTGGTTAAGTTCCAGTTAGTCTATCTGACAGTTAAATTCCATATAGATCGTTTTGAGAACAAGAAAATTATCTACCAGATAACTAACTGCAAATTTAACTGGACATTGATAAACCGGACCTAAGTCGTAAAAATTATTTTTATTCATTATTTAATACACGATTTTAAGGTCGTTAGAGCAATTTTCTCATTTCACCATATACGTAGATACATACTTAGCTTATAAATAAATTTTGCAAGTGCAATGATGATATAAACAAAATATAGCATGCTAGCACAATTTTTAGAAAATTAGTGTGTGTACAATTATTAAATTATATTTTTTGGTAAAATATTGTAAATACGTTACAAATATAAAAAAGCATATATGTATGAGCGCGAAAACCTATTTTAATTTCTGTTCGAATTTAAAATGAAACATGTCCTAATACCTAATCAACTTTTGCTCAATTTAATCTAAGTTTTAGAATATAAATTTAAAAATATGTGCACAATTATTATCACAATTATTGTAAATATTTAAACTTATTGATTGTACATTCTTTAATGAGCACATTAATTAAATTAATGCTTAAATAATAAACTAAATATTTAGGACTTTTTTAATATTTAACAAAATTATTATCTTATGGTTGCTAGGGTCTAATTTAAATAATTCTTTTCTAAACATAATTTTATCTAATCGAAAATTAAAATCCATTTATTGGAGATAATCATTTTCATTAATCCTTAACATTGTCCCCTATTTGTCAATTATTAAATAAAAAATTAAATTAATATTTAGACTTGCAAAGCACATATCATGAAATCATATCAAATTTTCGTTTTCAAAAGCAGATTTTAAATTTGAACAGAAATTGTAAAATGTTGCAAAATCCAGTGCCGGATTTTTACCTTTTTTATTTTATCATACCTCATCAATGTCCAAACAATGCTTATATTTTTTGGTATTCTATAAAAAAATCAAAATTAATTAATGAAAAGCTATTTGCATATTTGTAAAGGGTTTGTAAAAAGATGACAAATTCTTTTTAAATATCTATCTAAGGTGATTTGCAGCAATAAATAATTTTGCAGACAAAATGTGATAAAATTTAATTTAAAAATAGTCCATGTTGGTTTGTGTAAATAAATTTAAATGGTTGTATTTATGTATAAGCAGAGAATCATAGTTGGTAGGAGTAAAATATATATGTGGTTTTCATTAATCATCATCATAAATTAATTGTTATGTTTGAATTATTAAGGTTTTTATAGGATTTTTATTCTATATAAAGCAAAATGCTATGTAGTGCAATAAACCTTACAATAAAAGTAAAAAATGCAAAATGTTTTTGACCTTTTGAAAATAAAGTTTTAAAGACTACAATGTTTGAAAGAAATGAAGTTAAAAATGTTAAACATTTTATAAATTAAAAACATCTTGCCCAATATTTAAAATAAGTGCAATATTTTGTTCTATGCACAATAATGATTTGTTTGTTGAATTTTACCAAAAAGAACCAAATAGTCTAATTGTTAATTAACTACTTGGCTAATAAATAATGTTGATTTTTGCAGATATTCATAAAATAATTTAAATGTAGTATAGATAAAGTGTAATCAGTAAAATGCTTTACCATAAATCATACAAAAATTGTTTTTAGAGGTTAAAAGGAGGCTAAAAACAATAGTACAATTCACTTTATCTATAATTTATATTTTTCTAATATTTATGTATTTACCTGCAAACAAAAATGTAAATTCAAAATGAGAGTTATACAAAAATTTGTGATATTGAAATAATTGAATGAGAGCATCAAAAGCTTGTTGAGTCTACAATTTTGAAATAAACTATATACCTAATAAAAAATGTTTTATTTTAAATACCCTTCTGATTATATTTCTAACACCAATACTTTTTTAGGACACTAAATGTCTTAATTTGTGTATAGTAGAGATTCGACTTGAAAAAAAACGGTCCGTTTTTTTTGTTTTTTTTTTCAGGTTTTTTTTCATTGTTTTTTTTCAAATGGTTTTTTTTCACATTTTAGGTTTTTTTAGATTAGTCCCATTTGCCTAATTTAAAATTAGCCACTAAATCACAATTAGTAAATGTAAATACAGTCTCGCGCTATGCACGCGCCACCACCACCGAATGGACCAATAAGGGCCGCGCTTGTTTTGATTTGGTCCTAAAAAAAGTAACTACATATAATATTTTTGATTCAGCGATTGATTTTTCAAAAAGCTACCAAAAGCACTTTTTTCATGATTTTTCAAATTTATGTAGAGTATGGAAATTTTTTTTCCAAAAAAACAATAGCAAATTCTTGTAGAACATTTATTCATTGGTGGTCAGAACATTCCGTGGACCAAAAAGAAAGCAAAATAATTTTTTTATTACGGTATTTGTTAGAATTGAGCGTTGCACGTTTATTATCAAATTGCTTTTTTTACGACTCCAATACGACCATTTTTAACAAGGATACAGCTATCCGAAAAATCGCAAAAACAATTTTTTATCCTTTAATTTTTTGTATTAGTGTAGAAGTGGTTTTTAATGTGGAAACTACCAAATAATAAGAAATCAGATTTTTTTAGTCCTGGTCAAAATTTTCAATAATGAAAAATGTAATATATTCTACATTTTACTCAAAATTTTATTTTGAAAAAAAAACAAAAAAAAACCGTTTTTTCTCTAGTTTTTTTTTCACATCTGAAAAAAAAACCGTTTTTTACATCTCTAGTGTATAATAAGCCATATTTAAGCTTGCATTTTAAAAAATAAAGATAAACATACAGGTTCACCTACCTTATTCTTGGGGCCAGTTTGGATATTATATTGGTCATAATTAACCAAAAATAAAACCTGCTATATTTTAAGTTTATATTTTTTATCTTATACACAACATTTATTCGGTCTTCTTAGCCTTAGTTGTCTTTTTTGCTGCAATGGGTTTTTGCGATGAAAGAACAGCACTGGCTCTACGGAGGGCAGCCTTGGTCAAATCTGTACGGTATTTGTTGGATTCCAAAAGACGCTTCAGTTTGTGAAGAGACCTCCTTGGTCCAGACTTAAAGGTCCTCTTGACTGTGCTTTGTCTAGGTTTGTTCTGTAATTAATTTTACAAGATTTTTTTTTTGTTAAAAAGTTTACTAATTTAGGAATCCTAAATATTTAAATTAATGAGATATAAATTGTTATTTTAAAAACTGCTTGGTTGGACTTGAAAGGAGAACAATTTAAGAACTGGAACTGACTTTAAAGCTAGTTTTTCTTAAGAGCTGTTTATTTATCAGAGTTCAAAAATATCATGATATTTATATAAATATCCAATATAAATTGAGTGATATATTTGCAAACCCAAGGTTTGCAAATATCATATTTATATAAATATCCTATATATATATAACAAGTGATATATATCTGCAAACCCTGTTATTTATTTATTCCAATATCCAAAATGTAAAAAAATATTGACAGACTTGTCTAAATTGACTAATACTTGAAAAGGACAATTTTGGTGATATGTTAGAAATATTCCCCAACACCAAAACTACACAGTAACACTTTGCTTCTAAAGAAAAGGGCTTTAAGCACTTGGTGTTGGGGAATATTTCTAATAATTGTTTAAATTGACTAAAACAAAACTTACTTGTTTGCTGGATTTTTTGTAGACAACAGTGAAACCTTTCTTGTCAGGAGCATCAACAATACCTACAGATTTTTTGTGGACAAGGCCATTGTATCTGTATGAACTAACATTTGTTAAATTGTTAGGTTCCTGAAATGTAAAAGCATAATAAATTTCGGAAAAATAAAAGATTTATTTTTATCTTATTTGAGAAAACATCAGATAGGTTAAGTTATCTTCACAACTTTCGGAGATCTTGGTGGTAAAAATCATCATACAAATGTAATAATAAAATATTTCATATTTCTAATATTAAAAAGATACTTACTGTGCTGAAAGGTTTGCTGATGTTACGCTTCTTCAAAAGGAAAGCGTTGTTATTGCGAATAATGCTCCACACCAAGTGAGACGACATCTTGAACTAAAAAATACGTGAAATTAGATAAAGAATCCATACTTTCATACAAATTAAAGAAATGGAATTGTAAACGTAACCACGTGTTTTACAAAAAAAAAACATTAAAACTAAGCCAAATAATACATAACTGATACTCGAACAACTTTGTAATAATAGGAATAACTTACAATTTCAATTTCTTCCAAATAATTAGTTAAAACGTTATATTTTATATAAAATCAGCAATAAAACAAACTTACCTTACAAGATCTTTTCACAGAAAGATGGCCGCCAAAACGGAACCGGAAAATCTAAATTTTGACGGCAAGCACTGCTACCAACAAGAAATTTAAATTAAAACTGAAAATATTTTATTTTTGCCCTTATCTTTAAAATATTTAAATATATAATCACTTTATAATATCCCATCCAATATATTATTATTTTAAATAAATTTAAATTGCAAAATACGCTTTAAATCCATTTTTTGATTATTTTTATGGGGTTGGGTAGCTTGCCAATTTAAAAACTGACAGCCCAATTGTCATTAATGACAGAAAATCTGTCAGCTAATTTTAATTTTGTGTCGTTTTATTAATTTATAAATTAAACATGTCGTCTATAAAGTTTTCGGCTAAAGCTTATTGCAAAATAATTTTACACGCAGCTAAATATCCACATTGTGCTATAAATGGAGTGTTATTAGCCAAATCGACCTCGAAAAAGGAAGATATTGAATTTGTTGATGCAGTGCCTTTATTTCATATATCCATTAATTTAACCCCTATGGCTGAGATAGCTTTAATGCAGGTAATAAATAATTCTAAAATCATTAAAATTAAATAATTTTTGTGTATTTTTAAGATTGATGAGTTGGTATCGAAAAAAGGCCTTGTTATAGCTGGTTATTATACTGCTTTAGAAAATTTAAAGGACAATAATTTTGAGAAAGCGCACCACAGAATAGTGGACAAAATTGCAGCACAAAATGGGTCATCATATGTAGTTTTGGTATGTAATTTTATTGAGTTAACACTTATGTAAACAAATTATTGCTCTTTAGGTAAACAACAGTAAACTAAGTGTATATTTAGATAATGTGGCTCTAAAAGTAGCACAATACAGTGATGGGAATATGAAACCATGTGATCTCCACAGGGTTGTTTTAAGTCCAGACACAACCTTAGATACTTGCTCGCATCTTTTGGAACAAGAAGCTTATGAGGAACTGGTAGATTTTGATAACCATTTAGATAATGTTTCTTTGGATTGGATAAACATTAAGTTAAATGAAAAAATAGAGAATATATTGTGAAACAAGAAGTATTAAATTAAGCATTTATTTATGTAATTTCTGTTAAATGGTTTTGTTATTATAGTATGTTAATTGTTTTCATTTATATCTTAAGTACAAAATCTATGTTCTTTGGTAATTACTTTAGCATGTTCTTTGCTAATTTACTTTAGCATTTTTTTAATATTGTGTAGTTTTTTATTTTGTTCTTATGTATAATTACCTCTAGATTTTTGGGAGCAATAAAAACATTAATATATTGCAGAAGATATTCTATTAATACAACTACAAGACAATCAGGCAAAACACAATTATGTTAATTATATATTATTAAAGTTGACATGATTTAGTTAACACTAAACTTAAGATGGATTAACCAATAAAATAACACAAACTCAATATGCTTAAATTTTTATTTTAACTTACTGTTAACTTTATCAAATCAACAGAATCACAAATGTTTTGAGTAAATCACTTTAATTTATTTTATTTGAAATGAAACAATTTTCTTTTAAAGAAATCGTTCATTTTCAATTAAAATAGGTATACAGAGTGTACCAAAATAACTAAATGATCTATAATGGCAAACAACTAAATTTGAAAAGTTACACTCCATATACTTACAGTACAGGTTACAAATAGAAGTCCATGTTATCACAAAGTAAAAACAGTATAAAAATAAAAAAAGAATATTTATATACAAGGTGATTTTAAAAATTTAGCTTGGTAAGAAAATTCATCACTTTGTATGATAAAATAAAACGATTTCGTTTTAAATTAGTCACAATACATCTTAAATTTATAAAATGCATGTAACTAAATTCTTATTTTGATACTGTGTACTGAAGCAATTGAGCTTGAAGTCAGAAATATTGCCACTTGCCCAGGACAGCATCTTTGATGGCATTTACATACTGAGCAGGCACCCAGTATATCCAGTAACGTGATGCTTCAGTTGGACCCAATTGAATGCCCTATAAGAAATATTTTGGTTATATTTTTTTATAAAAGCTGGGTCATTCTTATAAAAACTGAATTCTTGGTCTCCAAGAACAAACCATTTTTTTTATAAAAATCCTTTTGGAACTTTGACCTGCTCGCTTATAAAGTAAATTAATTTAATTATTGGAGTGCCAGTAAAAAAGTAACAGAACCAAAGGTTATTTGAAAAATTTGTTTTATTCATTAAAAGCAGTCAAATCCCAATTCTGAGTACTTTAACTGTTGCATTATTTTAATAAAAATTATAAAAAAACACCTTATTATCTGTTTTCAAAATTTAATATATGATTTTATGAAATTTCCATAAAAAATAAACTATAATAATTAATGTTTACTCTTCAAATGGAGATAGTACCTTGAGATATAAAATATTTCAAAAATACTTGGTTATACACACTAGACTGGGCCAAAAAAATCAACTTTTTTTTTGAAAAGTATATCGAAAATATAGTTTGGGGCGACAAAAAAAATTATTGTGAAAGTTTGAGTCCAAAATATTAATATTAAGAGGTCTATCATCGCAATTTTAATTTTTTTTCCCTCATCAAGTTTTTGTCTGAGAACTCCCAAACCATTGAGTTTAACAAAATTTACTTGGGAATATTTTTTAAGAAAATTAAATGCTCTACAAAAAAGGTTAAATGAAATTTTTCGTCAGATGAACCGTTTCCTTAAAATCATGCCCTAAACATTGGTATAGTTTTACATTTTGATCTTTTAACTTTGGAATTTTAAAATTCATGTAAAAATCAGTACCCATAAAAAAAACCGATAAATATTCTTATGTGAAATCAAATGCTTTACAAAAAAAACCTCTTAGCATTTTTAGCTAAATTCACTCAATCAAAAGTTATTCCAGGTTAAAGTTGAAGTCAAAACGAAATTCTTGTCAAATTTAACCTTGAATAACTTTTGATGGAGTGAATTTAGCCAAAAATGTTGGAAGACTTTTTTTTGTAAAGCATTTGATTTCCCATAAAAATATTCATCGGTTTTTTTCTGAGTACTGATTTTTACATGAATTACAAAATTCCAAAGTTAAAAAATCAAATTGTAAAACTATACCAATTTTTAAGGCATGATTGTAAGAAAACGGTTCATCTGACGGGAAATTCCAATCAAACCTTTTTTGTAGAGCATTCAATTTTCTTCAAAAAATATTTTTAAGGCAATTTAGTTAAACTCAATGGTTTGGGAGTTCTGAGACAAAAACTCGCTCAGGAAAAAAAAATCTAAAATTGCGATGATAGACCTCTTAATATTAATATTATGGACTCAAACTTTCACCATAATTTTTTTTTGTCACCCTAAACAATATTTTCGATATACTTTACAAAAAAAATAGTCGATTTTTTTGGCCCAGTCTAATACACACAGAACATAAGACATCAATTCAATTTTTAAACACAAAACATTTTTTCAAGAAAATACAGCATTTAGTCATGGGATTTACATTGTCCCAATATAGCATTCAGTTATCAAAAAATAAAGAAAACACAATTTTCATTTTAAGTTTTTGATAAATATAAACAATTATGCAAAAAAATTTTAAACTAATATAAAACTCTTTTTTTACACATTTCTGAAGTAGTTTCTGTAAAAAAACTTACCTTTTTACTGGCATTCGCTATAATTTTATTTAAATTATTATTTTTAATATTGACTTTCAAAATGTATGTCAGCAAACTATTTATTTTATTTACCAAAATGTGGTATTCATCATGCTCCTCTATTGGTTCTGATACTACACTTTTAATTGAACCCATTGGAAGTTTCTCAGTTCTTTCTTTTGTACTTAACCATAATTGGTCACTTTCAAGTTTGAAAGTTAGTCTTACTTTACCACCATGTTTGTTTAACATACCAGAGAGTGGTGCAGATGGTAAGGCCTCCTAAATATTACACAATTTAAATTAAAATATTTTTATGTTTTATATTGGTATTACCTTAACATTTTTTATACCAGGCAATACATCATCAGGTAATCCTTTGTCCAATACTTTCCTGTGGATTTTTTGTTTACATAAAGGTTCTTTAACAGATGCTGCTTTTTCCATTTCAACTACATCCTAATTAATATTTATTTGATTTGTATTATAGATTTAAAATCCCCATTTTTAAAAAGTGATTCATTAATATTCAGAAAAATATATTCAGAAGTTTCATAATATATCCAACCTTATGCAATATTAACAAATCACCCTGTATTTAATTAACTGTTACCTGTTTACTAACAGATGATACTGCTAAAACATCGTTCAATGTTGATCCAACTAACATAATTTTAGCTCCTTTAGTAATTCCTGAACCTGAAATAGTTTGACCATCCTGTATTAATCCCTTAAACATTAATTTTTGCATTGGTTCTGGTACACCTAAAAATCATAATAACATTATAAAAATCTCCCTAAAGCCTTATACAACTTACCTAATAAGTCTTTTAGTTGCTCCTTGAAAGAAGCTATAGTATCGTCAGGCCTAACGCTCACATCATACTTCTTTTTATTGTAAATCACTTTAATTTGAATCGGTTCTGATTCTACATTATTGACTTGGTTTTTGTCTGGTGTGGAAATGTCTAAATCGGTTTTTGGTATTTTGCAATCCGATGGAACATCACTTAATATATCACTGTCTTCTTTGGCACAGTTCTCACCAGACATATTCGATATTTTACTATCATTTTCGCTACCTAAAATATCTTATTTAATTGGAGTAGAATTTATTTATCGACAATTAGGTTGAGTAAATTTTTTTGCTATGAATAACAAAGTAAAAAGAAAAACTCACCTATGCTCTCCATTTTGTTTTCAGACATTCCGAAATTTAAGTAAAAATTATTTTAACTATAAATGTGAAAACAGCTGTATCATTTGCAAACTATTTTTATAAATAGCCTTTATTTTTAAGTGATACTAAAATCTTTAAATACCAAATAAGGGCTAAATTAAAACTAACTTCAGGAACTCTTAAAAAAGTCAATTGTGATTATTTATCGTTGTTTTTTAATAAAATTCGGAAAATATTCAATGACAAAGACATAACCAAGGAAAGAAGTTCACTACACTGTTGTCTTATCAATTCATTTGTATGAATTTAACATCATCACTTACATACAAAATATACTTTGATAATAGAATTATACAAAAGTATATCGTTTAAGGCATAATTATTATATATATATTAAACATGTATTGAAAAAATAGTAAATACGTAAATTTCCAATCACTATATACACTTGGCAACGCGGCTAAAATTTGTAATCTAAAAATGTTTTGTTGGTATTACGAAATTTAATATACATTTGGTATTACTGAGCATAGTTGCCAGCTTAAAAAATAAATTAAATTATTTTAGTCTTTTTTTGATTTTATTTTATTATTTCATTTAAATTAAACATAATAAACTAACTAAGATATAATTTAGACAAATATATATTTAAATTTATCTTTTTTATTAGGTTTTTTAATTTGCATTTAATAAAAGTGGCAACATGAAACTTTTATTGTTACTAAACAGTTACTTTCATTGATATATTTTTAACAATTTCTGTAGTTTTATGTATTTTTGCATAGTTTTGTATATGTAGTTTTGCTAAATTATTGTTTAAAACAAATTTGTGTAAGCAGTTGCAGTGAATAATTAGTGATTTAATGTTTTTCGTGATATAAAAGGCACGCTAGGCGTTTAGTTCATTTCCCGGGCATTGTATTATTTCGAAATGCCCCCCAAAAAGAGGGAAAAAGAAGTGGATACCTCCAAAAATCCAAGAATTGATCATATCCAGGCCGATCATGAATTATTTTTACAAGCTTTTGAAAGTAAGTTGTAAATAAAACTTTATTTGCTATCTTTAACATCTTGTTTTTAGAACCCACACAAATATACAGGTATCTTAGAACCAGGAATATGTGCTCAGTGAGTAAATTTTTAGTTTAGCCATAGGCATTTTTGGTATAATTTATAACTGATGCATCTCTATTTAAGTACAACATAGTTTTTCATGTGTAAATAGTGCTATTGGGTTGTTTTTTAAATTACCAAACTGAGATATTATATACATGACTAATTTATAGTAAATCTAAATTATTAATAAAATATTTTCAGTTAAAAATTTCTCAAACATCATAAGTAAAGAATATAAAAATGTGTTCTCTTTCCTAAAAACATAAACAACCTTTTAACCTGAGAAAATTTGAACTTTTGCTTACTAAAATGCAAATCAAGCTAATAAAAAAAACTAAAATAATGTTCTCACTATTGTAACAGTATATCATAATATAAGTGGTGGACTAGTACCACCGATGGTGGACTAGTGGTTAGTGCTGACGACTACAAGCCAAGAGGTCATGGGTTCAATTCCGACCAGGGGTATGGCTGTTTATTTGTGTTTGTCCTATTCTATATTAGTCTTTTGGAGAGGACTTTAAGCCTGAGTTCCTTTCCTACCCCTAACCTGCTCAAGTAGTGTTGCAAACAAGGAAAAGTTCGGTCGAAAAGTTGGAAAAGTTGTTGGAAAAGTTGGAAAAGTTCGGCACCCCCTATGAAAAGTTGGAAAAGTTATTAGGTGGGAGCCAATGAACAATGAGTTGACTTCTAACCAGTGTTTCCACTACCATACATTTTTTTCGGTAGATAATTTAGTCAAAATTCGATATAAATCGCTAGATTGGAAGTGTTTTTAGTAAAACGTGCTAAAATCATTGTTGGGTCATTTCATATCAAATCAACCAATGGTTTGGCAGGTCACCTCTCCGATTTTGATAATTTTTGGTACAGTTATTCTACCCATAAATAGGATCAAAAATCCAAAATTTCAGATTTTTCGGACCAGTAGTTTTTTTTTAATTAATTTTTGAAAATCAAAAAAACGGTCAAATTCTCCTCAACATGTACTAAGAAAAAATTGAATATCTCCAGAACTACTAATACTAGAATAGCGATATATAGCTTATTTTAAAGGTCTTGAAAATACCTTTCGAACGAGGTATCTCATGACATACTTTTTATTAAAAAAAATATATAAAATTTTGAAAAAAAAATATTTTTTGAAAATTTTTAAAAAAGTATTTTTTTATTTTTTTCAAAAAATTATTTTTTTTTTCTCAATATTTTAGCAACATATTGGCAAAATTTCAAGATGGAGAAATGATTGGAACAAGGTGAAAAAAAATAATAACAATAAAAATGCATGCAATATTATATTAGTGGTATTTATTTTGATAAAATATTGATAAAAGGAATAAAAAAACTCAAAAACTAAATTATAAAGGAAAAAAAATAGATAATTTCAGCTTTAGTTTCTTTTTTCTAAAATTTTTGAAGAATCCAACATTTCATCTTTGGTAAGCGTGTAGGTTCGACCGGTAGAAGTAAGAGGCTGAATCCTCTTTAATACTGCATTTCTTTCTACTACTAAAATGTCTGCTCTGGGTGTCGGATAATAAAATGAACTGGCCGGTCCATTTGGATGTAGAAAACTGATTTTAAGTTCATCAGATTCTTCATTATGTCCAATGATACAGGCTAACCATATTCCACAGTCACAAAACCAGATTGAAGAGACATTAGTTCAGAATTTGTGATTTCAGAACACCTCAAAAGTTCCTGGGTTTTTTGTTCCAAGCTGAGTGAAAAGCTTTTGGTCATTATCTTTGATTTTGAAACTGGAATAACTGAATGTACTTTTTGAGTTCCAGGAATAGTTAGTGTTTCAGCAAACCTTTTTTCTAAATACATTGCATGCGTTTCGTAATCAGCAGTTGTACAAAACCTAAATGTGATACCGGCTATATTTTCTTGCGCAAATTGGAAAAGTTGTTCTGGCGTCATAATTTGGTCCTGGTATGGCCTTTGAAGACTAGCTTTAGTTGCTAAACGTTTTACGGTACCACCTAGGCCATCACAAGCGCTCTTGCCATGGGAAGTGGCAAAAAAGTGCCATTCCGCTTTTACCCCAAATTCTTCTTGATGGTAACAAAGGTTGATGAAATTTTTTTTATTTTTGTATTGGGCTGCGCACCCATCAGAAAAGTAGTAAATCTTTGAAAGGTTTATAATTTTCTCTTTAAGTTCAGCTATTAGTTGTTGTCCATCCAAAAAATATTTTAGGTGGATGTAAAAGACTTTTACATCCATTGCTAATAGCAACGGATGTAAAAACCTTAAAAAAACATTTAGACACAAAACCGTTGTTTTGACACTTAATAAATATTATGTAAAAGTCAATTATTAATGACAGTTTTCGAAAAACAAGTTTTTTATAACAAATTAAAACACTTATGCTGGAATTTTGCATGTTTATAAGTTTTCAATATTTTTTTTCACTATGAACCCATTATTTCTCCACCCTGAAATTTTGCCAACATGTTGCTAAGATATTGACAAAAAAAATATATTTTTTTGAAAAAAATTAAATTAGGTATACTTTTTTGAAAAATTTCAAAAAAAATTTTTTTTTCAAAAGATACTTTTTTAAAAAAATAAAAAGTATGTCATGATATACATCATTCGAAAGGTATTTTCAAGACCTTTAAAATAAGCTATACAGGGTGTTTCTTTTAACTTGAGACAGCTCAATATCTCGAGAAATACGCATTTCACGGAAAAATGTCTTAGATAAAAGGTTAATGTGACTAAAGGGGACATTATTTGGTGCTACCGCTAGCCACCCCCTACCCCTCCTTAAGGGTGAAACGGGGGGTAACTTTGGAAAGTCAAATGAAATGACCCGATTTTTTTCACAGAGTTTGGTAGTACATAAAAAAATAGATAACTTTTATTTAAAACTTTTTTCAATTTATCAACAGATGGCGCTGTAATTCAAAATTTAAGAAAAATGAGTTTCCTTGTAAAATGTATTATTTGAAACGTTTGAAAAACAAAAATTAACATTAACAACAATAGTCGGCTATGAAAACAATTTATAACAATTTAATGTTAATTTTTGTTTTTCAAACGTTTCAAATAATACATTTTACAAGGAAACCCTTTTTTCTTAAATTTTGAATTACAGCGCCATCTGTTGATAAATTGAAAAAAACTTTCAAATAAAAGTTATTCATTTTTTTATGTACTACCAAACTCTGTGAAAAAAATCGGGTCATTCCATTTTACTTTCCAAAGTTACCCCCCGTTTCACCCTTAAGGAGGGGTAGGGAGTGGCTAGCGGTAGCACCAAATAATGTCCCCTTTGGTCACATTAACCTTTTATTTAAGACATTTTTCCGTGAAATGCGTATTTCTCGAGATATTGAGCTGTCTCAAGTTAAAAGAAACACCCTGTATATCGCTATTCTAGTGTTAGTAGTTCTCGAGATATTCTATTTTTTCTGGGAGCATGTTGAGGAGAATTTGACAGTTTTTTTGATTTTCAAAAATTAATTTAAAAAAAACTACTGGTCCGAAAAATCTGAAATTTTGGATTTTTGATCCTATTTATGGATAGAATAACTGTACCAAAAATTATCAAAATCGGAGAGGTGACCTGCCAAACCTATTTTTATTTTGGTTGATTTGATATGAAATGACCCTGTTTTTTGGAATAACATTCTGTCAACCTTTATCAAAAATGGCTTAACAGCATTTTCTATTATATAAAGATTGTTTTATTATAACGTATTTTAGTTGCTATAACGTATTTTGAATTATATCGTCATAATAAGATAAATATTTAAAATTGAAAAAAAAGGAATAAAACTTATTATTAAAAAAATAAACTAAAAAGTACCGAAGTAAAAATCGGTAAAAAATAAGGTATTTTTGGTAAATGGACTGCCAAATCGATAGATCTACCGAAAAATCGGTAAAAGTGAAAAGGCTTCTAAATGCTATTCGTTGATTGGTTTACCCTGCAATGGCACATGGCCCGAGTTTTTATTTTGTTTGTTATTTTTTTTTGTTATTTTGTTATAAAACAACTTGTTACGTACATATGTATAAATACATAAGAAATAAATTATTTTAATACATTGACAAGCATTATTTATGTTTTATACGTTTACATTACAAAAAACTCAACTTTTCCATCTTTTCCGAACTTTTCCGAAAAATAAAACCCAACTTTTCAAAAATTTCAACTTTTCATGAAAAGTTGCAACCCTATGCCATTCAGTTGGCTTCTGGGACTTCTTAGGAAGTAAGGGTGCAACTAAAAGAGCACAAAATAATTTTTAAATAGTCTTTTCAAATGCAGCATCTCTTCTGTAGAATATTTTAAGTAAATGGCAAAAAACCATACTAAAAGTACTTAATGGGTGAAAAATAAATATATTTTAAAAAACTTGTTCAACTAACTGAAACCATTTTTACTACAAAAAAAAACCAGATTCAAGTCTTAATTTAAAAAAATATATATGTATATTGTATATTCAAAGGGAGATGGGCAGTTTAAGTACATTTTTGTACTTAAAACATCATTGGAGATGGCCAGTATTGAAACTAACATAAAACTTGAAAGAATTATTTTCCTTGGAAATAGTCGTTTTTGTTCAGATATAATTTTACGTAAAATTTCGATTTTATTGGTGTAAATAACTAATTTTTCAAAAAATTTGGAGATTGCCGCTTTTGAAACTACACTTCTCCAAGAAATAAACGCACCACCAAAAAATAACCAAAAGTTTTAAGTAAATTTTTCTCAAAACCAATTGTACGATTTGAAAGTTTTTTTTTTTAATAATAGGATGTCCCTTTCACAAATATAACGTGTCTATCTTTTTTTACATTTTGTTTTTTTATTTACTTCATTATCTTTCATATTTCATGAGTAACAACATTTTATAGGATAACATGATTTTATTGCAAATTATTAACAAGAAAAAACGATATAAAATTTAACAAATCAATTGAAACGAAGAATAACGAGTATTTCGACCTCTTGCACGAATAACTTCTTGACAACGACGGCCCATACTTAA